AAATCTCAACTGACGTGGCCAGACACGTCGGAAATAATATACACGTGTATATGCCACGTGTTAAATCTAAAAACCAGAAAATCTGTAAAAAATTAAACCGGTTCGGTACATAATTAACAAGAGGGCGTCGGCGGCGGAGGGGATCGCGCCGGAAGAGGGCCTCGCAGGGGGAGTCGCGGTGGAGTCGGGGATTTGGGGGAATTAGCGAGTGAGAGTGAGAGTGAGGGTCCGATTGAGAGAGGGGTCGATTTAGGGTTAGGGACCCCCCCTGCGAGGCCCTCTTCCGGCGCGATCCCCTCCGCCGGCGACGCCCTCTTCCGGCGCGACATCCTCCCCCGCGCTTCTTCCATCTCCGACAAAGAGATTCTTCATCGGTTCCCTGTGTCTCATCTCTCATCGACGACACCATTAATCATCGTCGGATCTCATTTCGGCGATACCCTCGGCCACCGCGAAACTCTCCTCCTCCGACCGTCGCCCTCTTTTTCCCGCCTCAGTTTCCCATTCTTCATCGGTAATCACATTTTTTTCGTGAAATCGACAGTTATCGATCTGTTCTTTCACTCTTAGCTTTTCTGTTTACTTCCCTGGTTTTGCTTGAATCTAGTTTTGTAGTTGATGGATTATGGTTTACAAGTTTCGGTTCCTTTCGATCATGTTTGATGGATTAGTTTTGTAGTTAGAATGATTTGTTAGATTGTGTTTTCTGATGGACTATTGTCGTTTTTGGGTTGATTGTGTTGATTGGGTTGATGGTGTTGTATTATATCGTGTTGGTAGATGAGTTCAAAATCTGAGGCAACTTCTCAGTCGGGAAGTTCGAATTGGAAAAAAGGAGAAGCAAGGCCGCGACGAGGTGTTCCTACACAATGCGAGTGTGGATCTACTATTACAAGATGGACCTCCAAAACTCACAATAACCCAGGAAGAGTTTTTTTTCCGTTGTGCAAATCATGAGGTATAGATTGTTTTTGAGAAAATTTGTTTTCATTGGGCAGATGTGCATAACATTGTTCTTTTGATGTTGTTTTATAGGGAAATCCTTCGCACTTATTTAAATGGGTGGATGATGCTTTTATTGAAGCAATCGAGGATTTACATGGTGAACAACAAAAACAAGGTGCTGAGATTGAGTTGATCATTAAAAAGATGCAAGAAATGGAAGCAGAAAGGGAAGAGTTCGACGACAAGGTGAGAAGAAATGAAAGAGAGAAGCAAGATTTAGAAGCCCAGGTGAAACAAACCGAAAGAGAAAAGCAAGAGTTGGAAGCCAATATGGAAAAAACTGAAAGAGAAAAGAAAGAATTGGAAGGCAAGATGGGAACAATTGAAACAGAGAAGAAGGATTTGGTATTGCAACTACAAGTCTCCAAATTGTTGGTGTTAGTGTTTGTTTTCATATCAGTTTGCATGTACTACTATGGTTTGTCTGTTTGAAGTTTCTCATGGGATTTGTTGGTAAATGTATTTTCTGGTTTGAACTACGTTAGGCAAGAAATTTCATATTTTGGGACTCTGTATTTCGTGTATAATATGGTTGGTTAGAAAAATTATTTTTTGATGTTTATGTGTATAAATATGAATGTAAAACAGATATAATTAGAACATAATATGGCAAAAAAAATGTCGCACACGAAATCATCATCCAGGATAAAACATTTCATATCCAACAAAAAGGCATTACAATACATATGAGTTCATAAATGCCATACAACATATTGTCTTACATCCAAAATATTGTCTTACATCCAAAATAAAAGATCATTTAGTTTCTCATATTATCACATCAATAGCAACAAAAAAGAAGGATCATATTCTTCAACTTCAATCTCCTTGAACTTGTTTTCCTAATCTGGAAGACAAAGATTGAACATGTCTGTATAAATATAATTTGAATTTCTTGATAATAACGTAGAAAAAGGTTGATAGAAAAGATTGAACAAAAGAACAAAAAAAATGAAATACAACATACCTCAGATGGCCTTGGTTCATTCTTGCATGTTTTTGCATTATGGCCAGGTTGTTTGCAAATTCTACATCGGAAAACTCTTCCATGTCGAGTCATGTGACCACTCTTTGAGGCTGACTCATGAGGCTCCTTAATTCTTTTGTGTTTCTTTGGGCGTCATGTCATTTGTATTGTCGTGGGGACACCAATTGGAGGTTTGCCTGATTTCATCCATGCCGGCTCACCATTTACGGGTAGGATATTACGCTGATATATTGCTTGCCATGTGGATTTCTTAATGTAATGCGACATATATCTGAAAAATGGAAAAAATAAGTTGTTAATGATCAACTATAATGCAAGGTATATGTAAAAATAAATGAACAGAAAATTACCTAGAAACGTCTTCTCGGTTGACTTTGATGACGGCTAAGGAATGTTGGCAAGGTATACCTCTCAATTGCCATCGCCGACAGCCACACGTTCTCGCAGACAAATCAACCGCATAACTTATCCCAAACTCAGCCACCTCATATTTCCCGTATCCACTCCGTATTATGTTACAATGACGGGATTTCTCACGCGACTTCTCTAAAACTTTCAAGATTCTTGGAGGGAAGTCGGTTTTGCACCTTTCTGCTTGAGTTGCACGTCGCGATATCCGCCGCATTATACTCCTTCGAATTTCTTCAAGCATGTCAATCATGGGAAGACTACGTGCTTCTTTTATGGACCCGTTGAAGCTCTCTGATAAATTGTTGTTAACGTCATGACATTTCGTCTCAGGATTAAAAAATGCGCGACACCATTTCTTCGGTTTTGCCCTCATAAAACCATCATAAGCCAATGGGTTATACACTCGGATATCACGTACATATTGATGAAACTCACTTTCAAGGTAGCTCTTGGCCGCCTTCCAGAAAAGAAGTTTAAGCTCGAGGTCCTTGAATTGTTTCTTCCAGTTTGCAAAAACATGTCTTGTACACATCCTATGTTCAACCAAAGGTAACTCTGATTCGATGGCATTCATCAAACCCTGTTCAAAGTTACACAATTAATATGTTATTGTTAATTAATATTTATAAAACCAAGTTAAAGAGTTATTCATACCTTCTGCTTGTCGGACAATATCGTCAAATTTTGTCCCTCGCCCAAATCTAAATCTAGTCTCAATTTTCTCACAAACCACGTCCAATTGTCGGTATCCTCGATACGTACAACGGCCCATGCAATAGGGTAAATACCATCATTTGCATCTCTACCAACTGCAGATAGAAGTTCTCCCTTAAAGTCCCACTTCAAGAAACATCCATCTAATCCGATAACCGGACGACAATGTCTTTTCCAAGAATCACGTAGGACTTCGAAGCAAACATAGCATTTGTGAAACACTTCTTGACCCGGAGTTGGTTTTGTTCCAATTTCAGTACTCGTATTGGGGTTTGAACGCTGCAACTCTAACTCATAGTCCCACAATTTTCGAAATTGAACTTCTTGATCTTCACGCACAATTTTCAAGGCCAAACTTCGAGCCTTAAAACACTTGCTCATTGAGACAGTCAAATTTTTATCCCGCTATATGTCATCCTGCATCTTTTTGGCTGTATAACTTGGATCTGCCCTTATCTTCTCAGCGTACATTGTGGCTATTTGCCTCATCGTTAACATATTTGCATATTTCTCCGGAGTATAGTTGTGATCGTCTTTGTAGACCTTGATCATCCATTTGTTGATTGGGGCCTCAACCGAACAATAAACCCTCCATGGACAGCCCACATTACAACACACTGCGGCTAATTTTGTTCGGTCCCACCTCGACAACTTGACATTGAAGTTCTCAACTAACACATAATCAAACAGAGCCTTCTTAAATTCTTCCCCTGAATTGAAAGTCCTACCAAGATACAAGATCTCACTACGTGGGAATGATGTCGGAATCTTTTTCCTAGGCTTATCAAAATTTTCCCATTCTTCATCTGTTCCTTCAGGTGTCGTTGGAATAAATTCATCACTGTCTGCATAATCCTCACTCGAATTCATCTCTTCATTCTCAACAACATCATCTTCAACAACAACATGAACCTCTTCAACGAAATCATCATCACTGCTTTCATACTCAGGAAATTCATCCATATAATCAGAAGAATTATCATAATCATACTCAGCAGTATGATCGTCGCCTTCAAAATCATCATCATCAGCACTGTCATAATCACCTACACTCTCGTCATCATTCCTTTCTGTAGGTGCCTTAACTGGAGTTGGAGGAGATAAATGGTGGTCTACGTATACATCTAACTCTCCACACAACGCTGCCATTTCACACATAAGATGAATTGCTTTGTCCCCATGTCCTTCATACACATGTCTCTTCTCATCCAAACTCTCATGTGGTAATTTAAACCACATTTCTCTGATTGCACCACTTATCTTACGAGATTTCACGAAATCTTCAAGAAAAAACCAAGACATAACATCCATATCCACCATAACACCTTTCTCCACAATTCCATCCAAGTAACAGCATTTTCCATCTATTTCGTGCATAAATCCAGTCATATAAAAGTTGATTTTACACCAACTACAAAATTAACACAATTATTACTATCTACTAATCAAATCGAACCACTCAAATCAACAACGAAATTGGTAACTTACCTCATTTTCTCAGTCCACTGATGGTTCAGAGTTTCTTCAGTCAACAAATTCCAAACCCGATAAACTATAAACCAAAACAGACATCATTAATAATACAAAATCCAAATTTCTTCCACCAAAAATCGTCAATCCCTAAACACAAACCCATAACGCATAATCAAAACTTTTATATGGCTGGATTTATGCACGAAATAGATGGAAAATGCTGTTACTTGGATGGAATTGTGGAGAAAGGTGTTATGGTGGATATGGATGTTATGTCTTGGTTTTTTCTTGAAGATTTCGTGAAATCTCGTAAGATAAGTGGTGCAATCAGAGAAATGTGGTTTAAATTACCACATGAGAGTTTGGATGAGAAGAGACGTGTGTATGAAGGACATGGGGACAAAGCAATTCATCTTATGTGTGAAATGGCAGCGTTGTGTGGAGAGTTAGATGTATAAGCTTCTGCATTAATGGCTCCATCAACTTTGAGATAGACCTTGAGGTTCTCATTCACTGTCTCGACTGCAGATCCAGCCGGGGCCGAGTGCTCTCCCTTTAACAGAACCTGTTGGAAAGCTATAAACAAGTTAGAAAAGCATGGTAATATGAGAGAAACATAAGGAAGGAAGAAAAAAGAATGGTATCCATTTCACGCACCTCCAAGGATGATAGGTTTGCTAGGGTTCTGATCTCCAACTCGTGGGATTTAACAATTTCTGATGTTGAGTTATTTTCACATAGAGCAAAGGCTGGTAATCTGCAAAGAATTACAGTGGGAAACTGAAACTGTTTCTTCCGTAGAAAAAATTTGCAGTTTAGACTGTTAAGTGTCGAAACAAAGTTTTAGTCGCAGTGTCGTACTCAAAGGCACTTGGTTCATATGCTCTAACCTTTCATTTTTCTGTTTCTCCAGCAGCTCCGCTCTGAGAGCCCTAAGAGATCTGACAGTTGCCAGAACGGTCTCCATTTCGGTTTCCACCGTTTCATTTGTCCAGTTCTGTGGGTCAAAAAACAAGATATTAGGAACCCACCAAGATAGGTTACTCACAAGTCCATAGAAAATCTTCTGACCTCCATAGTAGATGGGTAGTCACAGATCATGATAGAAGCCTCCCTTTGATAGTCTTTGGGTGAGGGCAATCGTTGCCATAATTCTTCGGTAACAAAAGGCATAAATGGGTGGAGTAGTCTCAAACCCGTCTCCAAACACACCCAGAGAGCATGTTGAGCATGCACCCTCTCCGAGGCAAATGCTGGGTTGTCACCAGCAAAGTAAGGTTTGATCGCCTCGATATATATGTCACAGAACTGGTATTGCCACCATGCATACACTGTGTTGGCTGCATCCGAGAACTCATACGCATTCAAGGATTCCACTGTTTTTGTTACTGCCTTATTCAGCACCGAAAGAATCCACTTGCAACTGAATGGCATGGTTTCAGGGTTTTGAGTTGGCAGAGGGGTGTAACCCTCGCCAAGCTTCATCATTGCAAATCTGACAGCGTTCCATAGTTTGTTACACCATTGACGGTAACCAACCACTCGTAGGATATCCAGGTTTATTTTATCAGACTAGAAAAATGATGCAAAGTAATTTGATTAGTTTACGAGTTAGCCCATTTATGGTGCAAATAACATGGTCTACGTAGGGGTGGATATACAGTACCTGAGCTGTGTACGAGACAAGTGCAAAACGGAGAGCATCAGCACCACATTCAGGGATACCATTTGGAAAATCCTTCACTTGCCCTTCTTTGGCAACAACCAGCTCCTTTGGATCCAAGTTACCCTCTTCTAGCCTCTTATGAAGGCCTTCGAGTGTTACCCCGTTTATTACTTCAAGAGGATCGATGACATTTCCAAGAGATTTTGACATCTTACGCCCATGTGCATCACGTATCATAGGATGCAAATAAACCTGCACTAGAGGAAAAACATTTAATGGCATTGAAGTTTTTCTAATATATATATATATATATATATATATATATATATATATATATATAACATATAGTATATTCCTATAATATTGAAAAACCATGACATGTATGTTTTTATTTGTTTTTTTATTTTTTGTTTATATATCCCATTTTATTTAAATTGCTTTAAAGATCTAGTATATGTAAACTGATTTTCATATAATTAGGTTGGTTGATTTCGTGATTTTTTTATGCGACATCTATGTGCCACATGATGCAACATAATTAAAAATGCCATATTGGAAATATAAACGGCAAAGTAACGTCGTTTTTATTTGAGTATTCATTTGGAAACAATTTTTAAATTGAAAAATAAATATGATAAATTTTTAATTGGGTGTTTTGCATGGTATATTTTGATAAATTAGGAAATTTTTATGGAATTTCCTCGAGTTATTAACTTATTACAAAAAAAAAACATTTAAAAATGGTGGTCATAATTAAATTCCCAGCGACCCTCTCTCTCGACTTGTCCACTGTATTTGAGATTCTGCCGGTCAAATTGAATGCATGAAATTAAATTCATTAGCTTTTGACTTATTTGCCTATATATAAAACATATATATTATTACCAAGACAAGGTTCTTACTTTAATTGAAAAAAATTATATTATATACATTAATAGAAAATTCAACCCAAATAATTTTTCAGAATTTAGTGATCGAATTCTAATTTTATTATCGAAATATGACAATGAGTTTTTTTTTTCATTTATCATCTCTTTAAAAAGGGCACCTTCTAAATTATATTTTTTTTATAAAAAAAAATGTTCTAATGCGTATGGATTCTCATCCATCCTTATTGCATGGGAATAGGGTTCTCCATCCTCATCGTTTCATATGCCCATCAATATAAATAATGATCGACCTTGGCATTTCGTATCATTTCAGCATTTTTTTTTATATTTTATTATATCCCCTTATTTTAACTTTATAGTGTTTCATTTTATAATAAGTAAATCATATTCCAAAAAAACTAAAGTTACTTATATTCACACGTCCACTCGATTTTCTTATTCAAATAAACGTGTGAAATCTTCACACCCTCTTAAATTGGCATTATATGTTCTAATTTAATTATTTAGTTAAAAAATGAAATGAAATAGTGATTTTTAAATAACGAGAGAGTGATGAGAAATGCCAATTATTCATAACGTTTTTCTTCTTTTGTTTTATCAGTCGGTCTATTAAATCTAATATGCTACCCAATTTGTTAGCATCAGTTCATTTAACCATTTATTTAAATATTATTCGTCAATTAAATAATTCTTCCTTGGTTCTCTTATTATGCCCCTCCTGTTACCTTTCTCCTCCCATTTCTTGATTTTACCTTAATACATTTATTATAGATATTTCATATTTTTTTGTCATATTTTTATTTCGCTTATCTTTAAGCTTGACTTTTAGTTTTTTTTTTCAATTTTTTTTGTAAAAGTACTTACTTTCTACAATTTTGTTTCGTTTCCATCCATTTTTTAAAATTATTTCTATATTAAATTCAGATCCAATTTAAATTTAAGCTTATTCCTATAAGTTACTGGTAATTTAGAAAAGAAAAAATATCTAAAAATTTTATTAACTTGTAATTTGGTATAATATTAATTTCTGAATTTGTAGTTGCGCCTATTTATTCCCGAACTTACATTTTTGAATACAATAATTCTTAAATTTATATTTTTGAATACAATAATTCCTAAACATGTACTTCTGAACAAAGTAATTCCTAAATTTTGCATTGGTCAATTAGTGATATGAAACTGTTAAACAAGATTAGGAATTACTGTGTTGAAAAATGTAAGTTTAGGAATAAATAGGCACAACTATAAGTTTAGAAATTAATATTATACCAAATTATATAAATTAATAAATTTTCAGGTATTTTTTCCTTTAGAAAAACAATTATAGTCTTAGCAAATTTAGTTTATCTTTTCCCCACTTTTTTATCTTTAATATTGTTGTAATGATGAAAAATAAACAGTTTCATTATGATTCTTGAGATGAGATCACACGGTTCTTGAGATGAGATCGTGGACCAAGCCATTTTGGAAATCTAAAGGGAAGAAAAAAAGACTAATTTATATTCAAACATTGGAACAGCTCCCTTGGAATCTTGCCCTAAGATTCGTTGTTGTGGAAGAACTCCGGTGGGATTATGGGAGGACAGAACTTCCTCGCCACAAACTTGTACTGCAAGAAACCAAAAGTTTCTGTTTTTAAGACAATGGTCTTCGAATGTAGATGATGAAGAATATCTTCGGCGTGTTATTTTCACATGTTTATTCATGAATTTCAAGGGGATTGCCGTAGAAATTCTCATGATCATCCGTTCTATTTCCTGCATGTGCTTTGGGGATTTAGCTTCTTACCTTGTGTTGGCTGTACTTCTCTCTCACTGCGGGCAGAGTGGAAGTGCAGGCGCCACAGCACAACCGGTGAAGATCCTTCACGCATTTCCTCAAATCCGACGCCTCATATAATGTGTAATGTTTCAACGTGGAGTTCTGGGCAACAAAACAAGGAAACGTCAAGATTGGATCGAACCCAGTTTAGAAGATCCAAGAAAATTTTCACAGTAACTTACCCATGGACTTCTTGTGGGATCTAAGATGTATTTAGCCAAGAAAATCGCGGATGCGGCTACAAGAGACATAGGATGAGGGAGCATGCTGTATTCGAGTAGAGATAACTCGGCGATGTAGTTTGCTAAGCACTCTAATTGCATCGAAGGAGCCTGTACGAAGAGTTAAGAAATCAAGAATCTTTCAAGTAATCAATCATCACATAGCAAAGCATGAACGTCTGTTTTCGTTTCGGCATTTCTATGGAGAGAAAAGTACCTCGGTAATCCCCTGAGCCGCGCGGACAAAGCGTCTGTTAATGATTAAAGTTCGAGAATTATGAAACTGGAGTAAGGAATAAAGGGTCAATTTGTAAACGATGACAGAGAATGGTTTTAACAGGTTACCTCAGGAAGCATTTGATAGTTGGAGCCGTCATTTCGAACTTCAAGTAATTTAGAACAGAAGATTCCATTTCCAGAACCTCTTCCTTGAAGTATGTATTGTCGGTGATGTAACAAAATTCTTCCACCTGAGGAGCACAAATCTCTTCATATTTTCTGCCATATTCAGACATTTGATTCTTGTCAGTTCATGTCTCTCTCAGTCATCAGAAAATGGGCGGAGATTTATGTTCTTACGCTGCTATCATCATACAAGTGACACCAAGCAACTGGAGTCGCTGTCTGCTAATCACATTTCCGGAAAGATATCTATCTATGTAGTTCACTGTCAAGTATAGTGTATCGGGTACAAGCCTATACTCTTCCGCAACCTGCATTTTTGTAATTCCGGTTTTGAGATTGCCCGGAACCGAAATAATCCAAATCCGCAAGAAGGGTACAGGTACAGGACATCATCACTTCAGGACAAGCAATTATCATGAATTGGGGAGTGAAAATTACCTCAACAAGCCAATCAATGAGTATGCTACGCATGCTAGCGTTTATGTCTTTCTGAACTCGCTCCAAGAAATCTGCCGCCGGCCTTTTCTTTGCCTGAAACTAGGAACACATTAAGAAATTGCAAGCGTAATGCCGTTCCAAAGAGATCAATTTTCGACAGGTAATACCTCGGAAGCACGCAGATGTTTGTAAATATCACAGGCAAATGTTGCACATAGCTGCGGATCATCATAGTCACTATCAATGTTCAAGACTTTGTCTTTGTCGATCTCCATCTCAGACAGAGTATCTCTGCTGCAAAAGTTACCTGCAAGCCGACCATAATGTATCAAATTCTGGATACCAAATGTTTTTAGGGACAGAACTCAAAACCAAGTAAAAAAAAAAAACTTGATAAACAAGAAAAGTACTTGTCTCTGAATTCTCTGCTATATACAGATTACTCAATGCCTTCCTCTCGATAGATTCTACAGCGGAAACTTCGCCATTGTCGATATACTCTACTTGTGGGCTCTTGAAGGAATCACAAGTTGACATCGACTCATCCATAGAAACTGAAACATCTTCGAATTGAATGGGAGAAGATGCTTCGTTTTCACATTGGTTTGGAAAAATTACGGCAGTGGCAGATGCATTTTCATCTCGACAAGGCAACGACGTATCTTTTCCGGGAACAACCGAGCTTGTTTGGACAATCGGCTGGGCACGCAGGCCGGTGCTCGCTGAATCGGTGTATAAGCAAGCAGTTTGAGTAGGTGCTACTTTGATTTTGGCAGACTTGTTCGAGCAATGGGCCTTGATACAGAATCAGAAATTATCTTGTCAATCAAAGACTGAATCAAACGATCAATGCATAGATTTGGAATCACAAAGTCCCTTAACTCGTCACAGAAATCAATTGGAATCACAAAATCCCTTAATTCGTCAAAGAAATTAACGATTTGCTATGCGAAGAAACACAGAATTGATCAGAGAGACGTATCAGAATGTACAGAGAAAACTAACCCAACAACCAATATCCAGAAAGAAGCAGATGGGAAGTGAATTCTCAAGAAAACCGACAACATTTTCTCGCTATGCAAACAGATGAAAGTCGTTAAAGCTGGAAAACGAAGTGCTCACCGAAGTAGACGAGGAATTCGGGATCCGGGACCCATTCTTCTGATTGGTGATGTTACCAAGTGGGGCTCGCTTCTTCGTCAACCTCGGAGCCGCCGGCGCCGCCAACGTCGGTTTCCCGAAGTTTTCCGAGGAAGACGTCGCGTGACGCTTCGCCATGGACGACATTGTCGAAGAGGAAAACGAAGGTCGCCGGCTCTGATTGCTCGACATCTTTAGGGCAAAAATGACGTCCGGGAATTCTCTCTCTCTCTCCGAGAATCCTTGAAGAAGATAAACAGAAACAGGAAAGAAGATTTTCGAATGGAGAGAGAGAGGGGGGAGAGTGTCGAGTGTTTATGAACAGAAATAGCGAGTGACTTTTGTAGGCTGTGTAAATACCATCTGGGTCGATGAATTTTTGAATTCATGGGATGATCCTGACCGTTGATTTAACGGGTAGATTTCGCAAGGAGCGTGCTCAGTTATAAGGGTGTATATTCTCACTAAGCGGTTCATTACGAACCAATTATATTTTGCCACGTCATAGTCAACTCTATATGGTAAACGTAATAGAAGGAATTGATTGGTGGACAATAGCATCGGCTTCGACAGCTTTGTCAGATTAGCTTTGGAGTTTTCTTTTTTTGAATTCAAATTTCAAACGGTCACTTGGATTTGAACTTTAAACAACCCGGAGCCCAAAAAGAATCATAAATTGAATTTGAAATCAACAAGCGAATATAATACACATATACAATGCGTATATATACAGGCTCCTGGGCAATTATTCAAATCTTGGGTATAATTTTGATTTTGGTACCTTTAAATTGTAATTAGGAGGTTGAAATAATCTTTTTTTTCTTCTCTAATAGATTATGATTTTCGTTTTGTGAATTCTTCGAATTTTGCATAAGATATCAAGACTTTTTTTTTTTTTTAGAAAACAAAGCATTTGATTTAAAATGATGTTTTGTAGCGATATGAACAAAGAGTAGTTTTAAATCAAATAATCTAATTTTTTATTTGTCCTATAATTAACTGAATATTTTAACGATTAAATATGTCTTATCTAATAAAAATCATTGTCGGAAATTAGCCGCCCATGTACCCGAAAGCAATTCAAAAATAAAGAATTGAATGGTAATTAATAATCAACTAATTATAACTTCTCAAATAATACTATCCAGGCCACTATTAATAAAAAAAGAATGGCAATTAAAAATCAAATAATTATTATGTCTCTAAAATTATCGAGGCTAATAATTTATAGTCGTTATTTTAAGAGAAAATAACATATAAATACCTAAACTTTTATGAAAATCCCACATAAATATCTGAATTATAAAATTTTCATATAAAATCCGAACTTTTAAAAATCCTATATAAATACCTAGACTTTTGAATTTTTTTCCAAATACATACAAATTTTAGATATTTTTCAAATAAAAATAGGCGATGTCATTAACGAAATTTGGATTTATTTAGGAGTTTTTCACAAGTTTAGGTATTTATATAGAATTTTAGAAAAGTTCGAGTATTTATATGGAAATTTTATAGTTCAGTTATTTATATGAGATTTTGTAAAATTTGGATATTTATATGCTATTTTCTCTTATTTTAATGACAAGTGTGGCATGAGTCTTTTATTTACATGGTAATTAGTTATATAATCGAGGAAAAAATGTATAAAAAAATAAATGAAAACGCATATATACACGTATGTTACGCTTCTATATAATTTTTTTTTATAATAAGAATCGAACATAGACTTGTAAATCCATTACCTCACATTAATATTTTTGGCCCATGTCAAATATTTCAACATCAACATCACTTTAAACCCAAATTTATTTGGAGTTCATCACATAAATTCTTCATTTACATTCATTTCAATTTTGAGTTAACTCTTTCAAAATTTACAATAATTTCATATCATTCATTGACTCAGTTCCCAAATAAACCTAAGTCTACAATAAATTATTATCTAAACAAAATCTCTCTCATAATCTCTTAGCAAGAGTCATTAACCGAAATATTATCTAAAATAACGGTGAACATTTTCTTCTAAATCCTCACTCCTTCAAAAATTCATGAATTTTAATAGCTAAAGTTTCACAAATGTGTGGATAAGACATGTATCGATAAAAAATAATATCTTGCTTTTCAAATTCCTATTTTCACTCACGTAAAGTGCTTTCAAACAAATATATCACTTACCATTGATACTCTTTAACAATTAGAAGTCAAAGATATCATACTAGAAATTTATTCCAACTCAACTTTAACTCTATCTTTACTCTTCAAATAAAACTCATAAACTCGAATAGTAATAGTATTTCTACAAAAAAAAACTTGAACTCCGGATTCTGGTAATGAATCCAATCTCTTAGATTTTTATACTCAACAAAACCAAAGGGGAGATCATGAGAGATAATGCACTGAGTCAACTTTTCATCAACAATTTTTTTAAATCAAACTTTTTGGTTATCTTCACATTTCCCCCACATCTCTAACATATTCCTAACATCTTTATCAATGACTTATTCGGACATATATTCGACAAATGCCTTTTCAAAATTGAAGTCCCATGTGCATCATGTTTTTGAGCATATGGTTTCTTACGATGATCGCACTCAATATGAGTTACACTAATCCTAGTAAAATGGTTCCATATCTACAAGATATAAAAAAAAGAGACATGAACACTTTGACCAGTGGCTATTGCATCAAATAAAGGCAACCAAAGAAAGAAACCATTATAATCAACAAATCAAGTCGAAAATATTTGACAAAAATCTTAATAAATCAAACACAGATAACCTGACTTAGATATCTCTTTCAAGCATTAGATAGAGCAATTGGTGCTCTATATTCTACTCATTAGATACTAAGAAGAGGAAAACCTAAAGTAGAAACATCTGATCAAACAAAATTGAAATGTATGAAAAAACAAAGAAGATGAAAACCCAATGAAAAAATAAAGAAGAATCACGAGATCAGGCTAATTATGCTCGGTGAAAGAGAGAGGGTACCTGATACGAGAGTTATTGAGAGTTGATTTCGACTACGAAATTGTCAATGAATTGATATTCATGGTCGATGGGTAAATCAACATGGAGATAAGAAAAAAAGAGATGAAGATGGTCTTGTTGTCGAGAGAGAGCTTTGAAAAGTGAGAAGATGAGAGATGAAGTCTGAAGAAAAGAAGAGAGAAAGAGTCCAAGTCGAGCGAGACACAATAACATAAAGAACATAGAAATTAGAAAGAAATCCTAATTTTTTTAGGTTAAGATTGTGAGCCAGCTCGCGAGTTGATCGAGCTAGCTCGATCGGGCTCGGGTTGGCGGCAAGCTGGATGACTCAACCCCTTTTTCCGAGCTCATTTTTTTCTAGCTCGACTCAATAAAAAAATGGGTCGAATCATAAGCCGACTTGTGGGTCTGACTCATTTTTTACATCCCTAGATATTGTTCAGTTCCAATGGTAGTCTCAAATGATAAGTCACAACTCGCACTTTCGCAATAAAAGGATATGATCTAATGTATCACGACTTTAGCTTCTCTGATTGTCCAAACCATACGTGTTTTCGCATCGCCTGTACTCGGAGGAATGCTCGAACTCGCACTTCCAACATAACGTCTTGTTTCCTTTAATTTGCATAGGATTTATGTCGTTATTGAGCTACTTCAAATTAGCTTTGATATTTTGTATCACTTTCGTAGTTTTTCTACTAACTCAGACCCAAATACTCGTATTTCTTCAGTCTCTATCCAACGTGGGGTTTCACAGGGCCTCCCATATAATATCTCATATGTTTGCATCCCAATGTTGTTGTTGTATGCAAATTGACACAGTGTCAAGTATTTATGCCATGGAAATCCCTAATCTAAACACATGATTTCAACATGTCTTTGAGTGTCTGAATGGTTCGTTCCGACTATCCATCCATCTATAGATGATATGCCATTCTCATTTTAAGTTATGTCTCCAATACTCCCTAAATAGCATTCCATAATCTTGAAGTAAAAGAGGATCGCGATCAGAGATAATTTCACTCGGTACCCTGTGTAGCTGAACAATTACATCCATGTAAATAAGAGCGAGTTTGTCCATTGGATACCCTATCGTATCACTATAAAGTGGTTGATTTGGTTAGTCGATTCACGATCACCCAAATAGTATTCTTCTTTATCGGTGCCATCGGTAGATCCACTAAGAAATCCATGACAATTGAGTTCTATTTCTACTCTGGGATATTCAACGGTTGTGATTTGCCACTCGATATTTTCCATTCAGCTTTAACTTGTTTGCATGTCAAATTAACATCGTGCTACAAATTCCACCACATCTCTCTTGATCCCTAGCACAAATTCCCTTGATTGCTCGATTTTGACATCTAACCACTATGTGGAGATTAAATAAAACAAGTCGCGAAGAGACAAAAACAAAATTAATGAACTCGAATTTGAATAACAAAGTTTGTCTGAGAATAAACAATGCATAATCAAATGACAATTTGATATGTTTATGTTAGGGAATATTAAGGAATAATCGAATATATTATGCTATATTATATTGTTTTTTATGTATATGTAACCCTAGTATCATTATTGTATATATATTGTAAGCAAATGCTAATGAGAGACACGGGGAAATTTACCAAGTTTCATGGTATCAGAGCAAGACCCTAATTTTCTCTCTTGATACCGCCACCGACCTTGCTCTGCAGATTGACCCCACCACCTTTCTTTCTTTCCCCTCTTCGTCTTCTTCTTCCTTCACATGACAACCATGGAAACCGATAATGCTCAATCGGAAAAACCATTTGGCGTGAGTAACATCAAAACTCACATCCCAATCATCCTTGACATGAAAGAATTCAACTATGACGCATGGAGGGAACTCTTTGAAACTCACTGCCTCAGTTTTAATGCAATGGGACACCTCGACGGCACCGTGCCTGCAACAGGCGAAACGGATACGCATTGGGTAAGGATCGAGGTCTTGTCAAATTGTGAATCTATGGGACCATATCCTAATCTCTCTTTACGACACCGTGCCCGATGGTTTCTCATGGCCATCTCTCGGCCCATTTGCCCTTTTTTTCTTTTCTAGTTGACTAGGTCTAGGTTAATTTGAATTTTGAAAGTAGATCAGTAAACTAAGTCGTACCGTCGGCCTTCTCCTCTTTGGCTTTCTCGGATCTCTCTCCCTCTTTTCACCTTCTATCCTCAATCTCTCGGAACCTTTCCTTGGGATAGGCTTAGTCGACTCCTCTCAGGTTTTCCTACAGCCCATTGGATCTATTGCTGCACGGATTAGATTATCTCACATTCAAGCCCGTGACTTTAGGACACGTTTTAAAAATTGACATAATCTCCAAATATGAACGCATATTCATTGTGGTTGCCAATTTTCTTCTCTCTTTCTTGTTCAGAAGAATTCTCAAGGATTCCACTAGATCCGCTGCCCCATGTGGACTTGGATAGAGACAGTTACCATTTTACGGTTATTTAGTGATCCAAACGAGCGAGAATATTAGTCGCAATGTGCGACAGAATCGTTGCGATAGTTTTTAATTTCGTCGCACATTACGACAGAACCATTCAGCCGCAATATGCGATGGAATTTCGATCGTCAAAATGTCTGACCACAATGCAACAACATATCCAGTCGCATTATGCGAACAGAAATGATCCCCGGTCGCACCATGCGGCAGCGATACTATCGGTTGCAAAATGCGACAGTTTGTTTCGGTCGCAATATGCGACAGAATTCTGACAAAAACTGTCGTCGTAGCATGTGACGGTTTTTGAACGGTTTGTTGCGTCGCAATTACCGACACAATTCGTGCGGTGGATTTTCACTGAGAATAAAAGTTAAACCATATTAAGGTGTTGAATGGATGGGGTTTTTATTTTGAGTTTTTGGATTTAGTTTTTGGTTTTTAGATTTTAGTTTTTGGTTTTTATAGATTTGTAAATCCAAAAAAATATAACTTTTAGTTTTTAGTTCAATTTTTTTCCATAAAGTGATTTTCCTGGTTTTTAGGAAAACTAAATTTAAAAAACTTGATTGACAATGGAGATGACTTTTATTTTGGGTTTTTGGTTTTAGTTTTTGGATTTTGGTTTTTAGTTTTTAGTTTTTGGCTTTTGGATTTTATAATATTTGAAAACTAAAAAAAAGTAGCTTTTGGTTTTTCATTGATTTTTTCACTAAAATGGTTTTCCAAATTTTTAGGAAAAGTAATTTTGTAAAAACTTATATGATGTTTTTTTTTTGGTTTTTGGATTCTAAAAACTCTAAAAACTCTCACCATTCAAGGCCAATATTTTTGAGTTTTTAAAATCTAAAAACTCCCAAAACCCTTGCCATTCAACACCTAAGTCTTCATTTATACACACTTGAAGTGAAAACCAATCATATATACTTGATGATAATCAACTAATTATTTGGTTTTCAATTATTCGTTTAATTCTGCTCGTAACAAAATATAAACGATACGACAAATGGTTATCATACATATAATTCTATATTCGTTTTAATATTTAATTTGGACTAAACCGAACAATAGTCTTTCTTAAATAGGAATTTACAAATGGTCCATATTATAACATTCTTACATTGATCCGATATTTCAGATGTGAGAAAGGCATCTCAGTTGTTGCATTGCATCTAGGGGTGGGCGAACGATTCGATTCGATTTGGTTTATTCGGTTACGGTTAATTCAGATTCAATTATTTTGGTTTTTGAAAATTAATAACGAAACAGTTTTTTAAATCGATTCGGTTCGTTCTGGTTATGTCTAACTAAAATTGTAACCAAATTATAACTAAATAAAAATTCGATTGGATTTTGTTCGGTTAGAATAGTAGATGAAATGATTTTTTATTATTATTGAAGAAATTTTTTTAAAGAAACTCATTTTATTTTAACATACCATAATTATAAACAATCTTATTACGATTGATTTCTCTATAAATATAACATTTATTGCATATTAACCGGATATGAGTGGATAAATGGTTATATTCGATTACGTTTAATTTGAGTTCAGTTTATTCGTTCTACGGTTAATTAGGATTCGGTTATTTTAGCTTTTAAAAATTTATAACCAAACGGTTATTCAATTTTAATCGGTTCGATTCAGATATAAATCGGTCGGGTTTGGTCCAGTTTCAAATAACCGAAGAGTTTGCTAACCCCTAATTGCATCTATGTGGAAAAGAACAGGTCGGAAATGATGTAACTCAAATGTTTCATTTATAGAGTAAATAAAACAACATAGGGATAGTTATATTTGGTGTTGTAATATCAATAGAGACTAAGAATGGTGGCTCATGAATCATGATAGCCTCGGATGCTTATCGCAATCCGCGGAAACCCATCCGAGCTGTTGCTTCTCGTTGTCGTATATCACCATGGTCCCTTGCATAAAGATGTCTGAACACAACAAACACACAATGTCCGATGGGATCAACGTAAGGAATGAACAGCAAGGCGATTGCGTCCTTTCACCGAGCGAGTTTCTTACCTCCGATTACGTTAGCGTTTTGCAATCCTACTTCGCTTCCATTCAGTATTCCTAGACAAACGTTTCCCGTCTTGTGGAAAATGAGACAATAGTCGTCAGCATTAACGTGTGTACGAGATTGTTTTCCGAGTTTTGCGATGTGGGTTTTGCCGTCGCTTACCGTGACTATGAGATAAGATTCGGGCTGAATCTGGAACTGTGTTTTTCTGATCCAACCTGAAAAGCTAATGGTCAAGGTCTTGAAGAAGCTCTTGGCATCAAGAACAGATTTGAAGGGCTTAGCGCCTTTCCAGCAGATTGGTAAGGTCCTATCCTCCTTGGCATCCTTCAGTGGCTTCCCTTTCAGATCGTTTGTTATCTGCGGCACAAGAAGAGACAACGACTCGATCAGATATCGCATGATTGAAAAACTTTGAGGTTCTTCATCAGGGTTTTTTTGTTGTTGTTTACCAGATTCACTATTGTCTGATATGTCTTGCTGTTGAAGTATGTGTAGGAACTGCCACTGTCAAAGATCAAGTCAAGGCCTTTTTCGCCGGTTGACTTCCCGTTGAACAAAAGCTCGGCTGATCCCACTGAGTAGTGTCCGCTGATACAGAATTTGGCTCGGAATGAATCAGTACATATACAATCTTCTAACATAAACCCGAAGCAAAAGAAGAGTGAAACTGCAGAATGTACTCTTTTGACAACTTCGCCCAGGCAACTCCCGAAGAAGGGATGGGATTGTCTCCGAAGAACAAAAAGCCTCCACCTTTATGGCTCAAGCAATGACCCATCACGTTTTTTGTTAACCCCGCGGTTACAAGCTGCGTCAAGAAGCTGATTATCCCTCTACCGATCCCCAAAACGCCAGCAGTAGCGGGCGGTGGGTGTGGACCGGGAACTTGCTGGTCATAACCACACCTGCAGCAGACATTAGGGTTTCAAGATTTTGTTTCGAGAACGAACACAACTGGGAATTATGGAGAGGATCTTCTTCTAACCCGAAAGCTAGACGGACCGACGAGGCGGAACCGTTTAGGAGGGTGAAGGGAATTTGATCGATCACGAGAACACCCATGGATGAGCCTTGATCAGCATAACTAACCTCATAGTCACACTGATCTGTCGGTTTCAGGCATTTGGGTTTGTTAGGGAAGTGAAGAGCTAAGCACAAAGGGTCTGAGCACTGGACCATGTTTCTCATGGGCTTGTACTGACGCTCACGAGGCTGCAAGCAAAGGAAGACGAACAGAAACATAAGAAAAGGGACACTATCAGTTGAAGGGAGAGGAGAAAGGATCGAAACGTGCAAGGGTGCAGCCGGAGCAAGGAGCATCGCATTGAACCCAAGCCAGGTCACTGCCGGTATCAACGTCGAAATCAAAGGCCTTAGGAGGGTTTCCTATTCGGAGAGAGACCGAGTAGTACCTGCAGAGATTCAAAAACATTAGAAGTGTAGAACACAGAGTAACTCAGAGATTCCGAACCAAAAAAAAAAGGGACAAGAGTATGCATTTGTGGATGAAACATGTTGAAGAGATTCATGGAATGTTCTTAAAAAAACATTATGATGATTGAAATTCTACATTATGATGTTCCATCACACAAATCAGCATAAAAAATCCCGGATACTGAGTTAAAGAAATGCAAAGATGAATAACAGAACATGGACGCAAGGATTCAAGAAACTGGTAAATCAATGAAGGACATCAACCAATGTGCAGAATCAGAAGAAAGAATCAAGAATACAGATACATATACGCATACAAATATATACAGAAAAGATTTGGGGAAGAGAGGAATCACCCGAGAGGGAAGACATTGCCGGAGAGAGGGAAGACGACGGAGGAGCGAAGAGAACTGGGAGCGAGAATCCCCGGGAAGTGTTCGAAGCTTGGAGCCTGCTTTGATTCAATGTCGTGAAATAACAGAGCAAGATTCAATAAGACGACCAAAACAACTGATCCTCTGTCCATCTTCTCTTCCTTGCAGAACAACCAACCTTGAGAGAGAGAGGGGGGGAGAGAGGGGGAGAGAGAGAGAGAGAAGGAGAAGAGAATACGATGTTCTTGACTGACTTTGGTGTTTGTATATAACTATATACATACATATATATACACACACCCAGACAGAGGGAAGGGGATGCGTGTGTATTTGTGTATGTATAGGTGGATGGATCAGTTGTTTGACTCATTTTGTCAACTGAAAGTTCCACAGGAAAATGCATCCAACGCAATTACAAGAGAAGTTATAAAAAATTACACTTTTTTGGATAAAATGTAGAAATATAGATTAAATATTATGATATTTCTATATAATCCCCAAAAGGTATATCACAAAAACCGAAAATGATTAAAAAACAAAAATTGCCTCAATCAATATCTATGCATATTTTACCAAAAGAAAAACATCTACATATATCAAGAGATTACGATCGATTCAATAAATAAGTAAATAAATATACAAACGTTTGGGAAACTAAAAATTAATATTAACTTAATTATTTCCAATTACTCATAAAATGTTACGCAATTTATACTGTAAAATATGTAGTTTTCTCCAACTTTATTATTATGTATCATTTTTCTAAACAAAATTACAGTTTAATAAAAATTAATTACACGGAAATTCAAAATATCTCAAATATGTATATAAAATTTTAAAATGTATCATTTTCCTAAACAATTTACAATTTAATAAAAATAAATTACACATAAATTCAAAATATCTCAAATATGTATATCAAATTTTAAAATGTATCATTTTCCTAAACAATTTACAGTTTAATAAAAATAAATTACAAGTAAATTCAAAATATCTCAAATATGTATATCAAATTTCGAAATATTTAACAATTTTTCATTTACCTTTAGACGACGTTAAATTCTGTTAGTATCGAACCCGACCGATATATAACCGGACCGATTAAAATTAAATTATCGTTTGGTTAAGATTTTTTAAAACCGGAAATAATCGAACCCGATTGTTCATGAAGACCTCATTAGGTGGTGATCGTATGGGGACCTATAAAGGAGACCTTATTAGGTGGTGGTCGTTATTTTACCACTTTTGTTGACGACTTTTCAAGAAGAGTATTGGTGTATGTGATGAAAACTAGGGATGAAGTATTGAATTGTTTCCTTAAATGGAAAAATATAGTGGAGAAACAAATTGGGATGAAGATCAAGAGTCTCCGAACATACAAACCCACTAGCCAAAATCTATCAAGATGATAGCATCATCAGACACTTCACCGTTCGAAACAATTCGCAAGAGGATGAGACGGTAGAACACATGAATTGAAGTTTACTGAAGAAGATTCGGTATATGCTGTATAATGTTGGATTAGGCACACAATTTTAGGCTGAAGTTGTGATGTATGCGAGTCATCTAATCAATTGGTTGTCATCTACTACAATAGAAGACAAGACACTCATGCAAGTTTGGTATGACAAGTCTGCTAATGATTATGATTCCTTGCACAACATATTCAGTTCGGTTGCTTACTATCATGTGAAGGAATCAAAGTTGGATCCTGGAATTAAGAAGTTGTTGTTCATGGATATTACACAAGGGTTAAAAGATATTGTCTTTGATGTTTTGAAACAAAGAAGATTATCGTTAATAGAAGTGTCACATTTGATGGGCTAACAATGCTGAATAAGCAAGTAAATGGAAATCAAGAATTTGAAATGAAAGATCTTGGAGAAGCAAAAAAGATTTTTGGAATGGAGATAACAAGAGATAGACAAAAGGGCGAGCTTTGTCTGTCGCAAAAGCAATATTTAAAGAAAGTAATTCAACGGTTTGGATTAGATGAAAAGTCAAAACCTGAAAGTACGTACACCACTTGTCCATCATTTCAAGATTAGCTCAGTTTTATCTCGTACCACAAATGAGGAACATGAATACATGGAGAAAATTTCATATGCAAATGCAGTTGGTAGCTTAATGTATACGATTATGTGTACCAGACCCAACATTTCATATGTCATTGGAGTGATAAGCATGTATATGTATAATCTTGGAAAAGGACATTGGCATGTAGTGAAATGGATTATGAGGTACATTTTGAAGACTTTAGATAATAGTAATTAAGATTATCAACATATAATGAGTGATGAATTAAATAAAGGAAAAAAAATTGAAATAAGGAAGTTTCGAGGCGCGTAGGATGATCAAAACGCGGTTTGGCACGCGGAAGGAACATTAATTAAGAATGCGGAAATTTATGGTAATCTTGACAATTCCATTCTTATATAGCAATATTTTTTTTTTATATAGTAATATTCCTTTATAAGCAAAATACCAATGTCATTTTATGGAAATATAACAAGAAACAGTTACAAGTATCCGTATAAAAATCAATCAATCATATAGAATTTTAATCTCGTGATTATAGAATGAATGATTGACCATAGTGAAAGTGTAATGGATGTGATTTTGAATCTAATTTAATTTATATGTTCCACAAAATCTGAATTTGTAGTGTGGATTGATAAACGTGACAAAATTGTGCAATACAGTCTAATTTCTATCTATACTTTAAAGACTTAATTAAAGTTAAATCAATATCGAATGCACAAATCCCTCGTCTCATTCTTTTTTAATTCCACAATTAAGTCAAAATTTTTTATTTTTTTCTGATTTTTTTTCTGTTATCAAATTAATAAATATATTTGTTACCAAATAAATAGTATATTCTTATACTTTAAAAATTATGGCAATATACTCTATCAGATACGAAAAATTGACGTGGCAATATACTCTATCAGATACAATACATATATATACACATAGATACATATACATACGTATATAATATATGTATATATACATATCCATATATATATACATATACACATATTATATATATACACATATATACATATACATATTTACAAATACATACACATATGAATGTACGTATGCATCTATATATGTATATGTATATGTATATATGTATATATCTGTATATGAATGTATGTGTATGCATATGTATCGTATATTTGTTTTATTTTTACCAAAAAAAATTGTTTTATTTTTATTTTTATTTATTATTATTATTATTATTTATTATTTTAAGGTTTAATTCAATGTTGTGGCTAATGTGACGAGTGTGTTGTACTACTGTTTTGCCACGCCATTTTTCTGTAAGTTATTCGCTTAGGTTCTAAACTGTGTTATTTGATGGATATATATATATATATATATATATATACACATATATGTTGTCACGATTTTTAAAAGTATAAAATTTGTTTTCTCGAAATATTTAGGACATAAAAAAATCCCCAAACCCGTCTAAAAAAATAAAAGGCTCGTTAAGTTTTTGAACTTTGGAAATTGGGCCAAATAAACTTCGGGTCTACGGGACCAGGCCGATCGATCCTTCCTAAAAATGGTATTCTGTATATATATCGAACAAATATATAAAATTGATTAAAAAATATAGATATTAATTTGATACCATGAAAGAACACAGACGATTCTTCCTATTTTAAACCCTAGATTTAGGAGTTAGCCTGGTTATTCGTTTGAATTTATAGATTATTTTTACTGAACCGTACAAAATTGAAAAATAAGATATGTTTCTAATCCAAACAATCCAAAATTTTCAAACGGTATTATTTTAGAAAACCGAATTTATAGAAACCGAACAAAAACGAATTGAATTTAAAAAAAAATCCGAAAACCGAATATTTCTTAAACATATCTATTTTTTTAGTAAAAATCGGAATCGAACCAAACCGAAACCAAAGCGAACCGAATATGATATAATAACCGATTGTTATATACTTATGTAAAATCAAAAGATTCGAATCAAACTATTTTCAAACCGAACCCGAATCGAATATCGAAACGTCTATCCCTATCAGATGTCGTTTCAGAAAAACAAGTAGAATGTGGAAACCAAGTTGTGTAGGATTGGTTTTTCTTTCATAACTTAGTCTTGATAGATCCACTTTTTTCTAATTTTTGTATCACTTGTTCATGGGTCTCTCTAGGGGTGGACATGGATCGAATATCCGGGATTTTTGAGATATTCGTATCTGATCCGTACAAATATTCGATTTTATTATCCGTATCCGATTTGTAATTTTAAAATATCGACAACTTCAGATATCCGTAAAAATCACGAATATTTGTGGATATCCGTATCCGACTTACAAAGTTATAAAAATTTGAATTAAAATTAAATAACAAAATCAAATACAAATAAAATATATAATTTATTTAATATAAATGATATTCACAATTTAAAATTCATAATTTAAACATTCTAAATCAACTTAAATACAAATATAATCATAATCTATCACATACAAATATATTCAAAATTCAAAATTCAAAACACCAAACATAATAAATCTTAATATTCATAACATTAAACATCATATACCTCAATATATATAAAACATTTTTTTATTCTCCTTAAAAAACATATAAATATTAAGCATTTTAAATCTCCATGCCAAATTATTTTTATATGTAATAATATTATTACAAAATACACCTCACATCAGATATACCGAATAATTCAATTTTGATATCTGTATCTCATCTGTACCCGACAAATATTTCTGAATAAATATCCGTATACGATTCGTAAACTCCGGATATCCGAATTTTTGGTTCGGATACGAATAGAATAACGGATTAGCTCAGTTTTTTCGGATATTTTGTTCACCTCTAGTTCTCTCTATGTTTTTGTATACCGGCAATTAACTATATACATAAGTTATACATACATATATATACAAACACATTCAAACATACACATATATACATATAAATAAATATAAATATATATATATGTATACACACATATATACATATACACATACGCATACATATAAATACGTATATATATGTATACACTCATACATATAAATACATATATATATATACATATATACATATACACATACACATACATATATACATAAACTATCAAAAAAATATTAATAATTTTGTTTGGTATTACATTTGATATTATTTTATTTTGTCAATAAATATTTTAAAAAAATTAATATTAAAATTAATTTTTTATTAAAAATTATATTAAATGGATGAAAAACATATTTTAAAAATTTATGATTATTTATTTATATTTTGATAATTAGTTGATATCAAATATTAGTAAAAACTAATTAAAATATTTTAAAAAATATAATATTATATACAATAAAATGATATAATTTTTTATAATATCAAATCGCAATCACAATCGTTGTCAACCATTCACTCTAAATCGTAATCATTTACAATAGCTCCCAACAGTAATTTTTTTACTATTCAGCACTGATCGCCTAAAATCGTCAATAAATACATCGTAAACGCACATATTCATCACGATTGCGATTACTTACCATAGTCAATACCTTATTTAGAAAAAAATAATTATTTTTAGAAATATAGAAAAATTATTTAAATTATGGAAATATGTTTTTATCGACACATATAAATCGTCTTACTTTGTTCTAATATATATATATATATGTGTGTGTGTGTGTGTGGATGATTTAAGAATACCATTCATAAAATATACCATGATCAATAATATATTAATAATCTGTCTAATCATAATGTATTTTATAATTTATGAATATAATATTTAACAAATATAGTTATTTATAACATTATAATATATATTATAAGATACACTCAAACTCAATCAAAACAAATTCATTTAATTAAATAAAAACAATTGCATGATATATCAGTTTTTGAAGGAGACTAGTAAACCATATTATATATTATACAAACAAATGCTCTAAAATAGCTTTAACTTTATTGTATATTATTAAGATTTAAGAATATCCTCCTTCATTTTGAAAAAAAAAATGTAGATTCTCTTTAAACTCATTAAATGAATTTTCAAATAAGAGTATTTATAAAAAAACGTATATAAATATTTAAATTTTTACAAAAATCTCAAATAAATATTTAAAATATAAAATTTTCATATAAATACCTTAAAAGTTAGGTTTTAAGATTTAAGAATATTCATCTTCTTTTTGAAAAAAAACTGTATATTCTCTTTAAATTTAGTAAATATATTCAATTACGAGTATTTATAAAGAAAAGGGAAGATCGTATTTTAATATCTAAAGTTTTACAAAAATTCTATATAAATATTTAAATTAGAAAAATTTTATATAATACTATAAAGTTTTATAATTTTGGAATTTTTGTAAAAATGTAAATATTTATATACGATATTTCTTTATAAGAATTAATATTTAATATTATGTTATTGTTAAAAAGTTCCAAATGTCCTAAAAAGCAAATGAAGAAATGATACGATGTTGATGATAGAAAAAAATGATGATGATGGTGATGATGAATCCATGTGCAAGAGAACTGATTTGTCAAAAGGGAATAAACTTCTTTCCAAGTGAGGAAAAAAAAACATCTTATCAGGAGTTTATGCCAAGGTAAATTTCCTGTAACATTTCATTTGCTATTATTTCGGGTATTTGTGTAGCCGATGGGTAAAGAGACATTCATCGGAAACACCAAATTAAGATAGCAAAATGTGCATCTTGATCCGCTATCCTTTTACTCAGAAATAGTTATGTTTTCTCCAGGTTTACCGCAAGGCCCGGGAATTTGTTGAAGATGTCTACAACGTGGGAGATTTCCCTCGAAGCTGATATCATCCACAAATGGCAGGAGAGTGATAATGGGGTTACATTACCACGTCTCGAGTGCAGCTTGTAGTGCCCCGTAAGTGCCTCCACTGACAAAAATGAGGAGATCCTCGACAATTCGGGAAGTAACCTACTAGTAGAGACGTAATGCATACTTTGTTCCAACCAATAAAGACGAAATCGCAACTCATCGAATCAAAGGCTTTCCTCACGTCAATTTTGAGCATGCCTGTTAGCGAATTAAGGAAGTGTCCATAAGACTCTGCATCATCAAGAAGGTTTGAAGAATGTAGATAACGTTGAAGGAAGTTCAAGAAGAAATTATCAGTTTGTATTTTTCAGTTTATAATACAGTTGTAACCACCTCTATAAAAACTCTATATATGTTGTTATGTGTTATGAAATAAAATATGTTTTATTAGGAATTCAGAACCTGTAAAACTCCTCCTGATACTCTCCATCAATATAGAAAATAGAACAAGTCTAAGAAACAGACCGTATCAATGGTATCAGAGCATCTTAAAGGATCTTTTCGGGACCTGTGTGAGAAGAGAGAAGATGGATCAGACGATAGATACAGTAACAACCGTGAATCCAGTGCAGAATGCTCCGATCTTTAATGGTGAAGAATACCAGATTTGGGCAGTTCGTATGCAAGCGTTCCTTGAAGGTGCAGATCTCTGGGAAGCGGTGGAAGAAGATTACGAAGTCCCTCCTCTCCCTGCAAATCCAACAGTTAATCAACTGAGGAATAACAAGGAAAGGGTTACTAAGAAGTCTAAGGCAAAATCCCGCATTTTTGCCGCAGTAATTCCCTCAATTCTCATCAAGATCATGAACATGAATTCTGCCAAACAAATGTGGGATTTCCTGAAGACCGAATATGAAGGTGATGGAAAAATCAGGAGTATGAAAGTCCTAAATCTACTGTGTGAATTTGAACGCCAACAGATGAAGGGAGATGAGTTGGTCAAGGACTATGTTGACTGGTTGGTTAACATAGTAAATAACATCAGGATATTGGGTACAAAAGTCAAAGATGACAAAATTGTCCAGAAAATTCTGGTGTCCGTTCCTGAGAGGTTTGAGGCAACTATTGCTTCCCTGGAGAACACAAAGGAATTGTCTGAGATCAAACTGCCAGAACTTCTGAGTGCACTTCAGGCACAAGAGCAGAGGAGACGTATGAGAAAGGAAGAGTCAGTAGAGGGTGCTCTTATGGCAAAGGCTAAAGGCAAGGGTTCAGAAAAAGGAAAACAGAAGAAACAAAGGCAGAAACCAGAAGGAGAAAAACAGAAGTTTAGTAATGCTGTCGAGGAAGCAAATTCGAGTCAGAATTTTTTAGAACCATGCAAGCATTGTAACAAGAGAAATTACCCTCATTGGAGATGTTGGAGAAACCCAAATGTGAAGTGTCAGGCTTGCAACAAGTATGGTCATATTGAGAGGTTCTGTAGGAGCAAGAATCCTCAAAATTTCCAGGCCAATACTGCAGAAACAGGAGATACAGAAAACTTGTTAGTTGCATCTTGTTTTGTCTCAAGTTCTATCAAACATGGATTGCTGATAGATAGTGGATGCACTAACCATATGACAAGAGATAAAAGCTTGTTCAAGCAACTCGACACAACATTCAAATCAAAAGTCAGAATCGGGAATGGAGAATGCATATCAGTCGAAGGGAAAGGTGATGTTTATATTAAAACCGCAGAATGGATGAAAACCTTGACTAATGTGTTATTTGTTCCAAAGATTGATCAAAATTTGTTAAGTGTTGCACAACTGATATGTAAGGGATATCGTGTGGTGTTTGATAACGAGGAGTGTATCATCGGAAATGATACAAACTCGACGTTGTTCAGGATCAAGATGCAGAATATGAGTTTTCCATTCATACCAAGTGCAGATGAGAATAAGGCTATGAAGACACAGTTGCAGGAAGAAGATCTTTGGCACAAACGGCTGGGACATTTCCACAATAAGGGAGTGTCCTACATGATCCAGAACAAGATGCTGGAAGGATTACCTGAACATCAAAGAGATGTTTGAGATTGCAGCATTTGTCGTCTCGGCAAGCACAGAAGATTGCCGTTCAAATCATCTACCTGGAGAGCAATTAATAAACTTCAGTTGATCCATACCGATGTTTGCGACCCTATGCCAATTGAGTCTCTTACTGATAGCAGGTATTTCATAACGTTTATTGATTATTACACTCGTATGTGCTGGATTTTCTTCATGAAAGCTAAGGCAGAAGTTGATGGGATATTTGAAAGATTCAAGAACGAGGTGGAGAATGAGTGTGGAAACAGGATCAAAGTCATCAGATCAGATAATGGAGCTGAGTACACCTCCAGCAGATTCAGAATTATATGTGAAGGATCGGGCATAAAACATCAGTTTTCGGTGCCCTACTCCCCGCAACAGAATGGGGTGAGTGAAAGAAAGAATCGCATGATCATGGAGATGGCAAGATGTCTTCTGTACGAGAAAAGTCTGCCAAAACGTTTCTGGGCAGAAACATCGAGTACAGCCGTGTTTCTTCTCAACCGATTATCAACCAAAGCGCTGCAGAAACAGACTCCTTTCGAGGTATGGACCGGGAAGAAGCCAAACTGTACAAACTTTAGAATATTTGGTTGCATTTGTTTCAGCTTTTTTCCTGAAGCTAAGAGAGACAAGCTCGATGAAAAGGCAGAGAAAGGAATATTTGTTGGTTACAGTCTTGTTTCTAAAGCTTATCGAATCTATTTACCCAACTCAAATCGAGTTGTCGTAAGCAGGGACGTTAAGTTTCTAGAACCAGAGAAGTGGGAATGGTCTGGAACAAATGCAGAACCAGGAAATGATGATGAGCAAGGGGATGATACAGAAGTTGAAGAGCAAGAACAACAGGATGGAGGAACATATCAGATCGAGATTGATGAAGAAGCAAATGATGAACCTGTGAGAGGAACAAGATCTCTTGCAGAAATATATGAAAGGTGCAATATTGCTGTAATGGAACCATCAAATTTTGAAGATGCAAAACTGGATCAGAAGTGGAAGGTGGCAATGGAAGAGGAGTTGAACATGATCAACAAGACATGAACTTGGAAACTTGTCGAGAGGCCTGCAAACAAGAAGGTGATTGGCGTGAAGTGGGTTTACAAAACCAAACTCAACCTAGATGGTTCTGTAAACAAGTATAAAGCCAGGCTTGTAGTAAAAGGGTACGCTCAAGTCTGGGGTGTCGATTTTTCTGAAACATTCGCACTAGTATCTCGCATGGACACTGTCAGGCTCCTGTTGGCTTTGTCTGCACAGAAAGATTGGAAAGTATTTCACATGGATGTGAAATCAACTTTTTTAAATGGAGATTTGAAGGAAGAGACATATGTTGAGCAGCCTGAAGGATATGTTGTGCTAGGGCAGGAGAGTAAGGTATATTTACTTAAGAAAGCATTTTATGGTTTAAAACAAGCTCCTAGAGCTTGGTATGAGAAGACTGATAGATGTCTTCCAGGGCTGAAGTTCAATAGAAGTTTGAGTGAGCATACCTTATATGTGAAAAAGGATCAAGTTGGAATCACAATTGTCTCCCTGTACGTAGATGATCTGCTCGTGACAGGTGATAACAGTGTTGAAATCGAAAATCTGCAGAATTATATGAGTAAGGAGTTCGAGATGACTAATCTCGGACTCATGTCTCAATTTTTGGGACTGGAGATTCAGCAAACTTCGGAGAGTATCTTCATATGTCAACAGAAGTATACAAGGCAAATTCTGAAAAGATTCAAGATGGAAGATTCGAAGACAATGAAGACACCTCTGGACCAGAAAACGAAACTGCATAAATTCGAAGAAGGGGAACCAGTAGATGAAGGAATATACAGAAGTTTGATTGGTTGTTTGATGTATCTAACGGCTTCGAGGCCTGATATTCTCTTTGCCGTTAGTGCATTATCAAGGTACCTGAGTTGTGCTAAGAAGGAGCATCTGATTTCAGCAAAAAGAATATTGAGGTATTTGAAGGGAACTCATACTCTGGGAATCAGATTCTGGAAAAATGCAGAAGTCAAGTTGACAGGATTTGTTGAGAGTGACTGGGGCGGATCAGGTGATGATATGAAGAGTACAACTGGGTATTGTTTCTCGTTAGGAACATCATGTTTCTCATGGAGCTCGAGGAAGCAAGGTATCGTTGCACAATCTACCGTAGAAGCTGAATTTGTTGCAGCTACTGAAGCATCAAAGCAAGCAATTTGGCTCAAGAAAATTCTGAAAGATTTCTCTGTTGATAGCCAAGAACCAACCGAGATTTTTATTGACAATCAAGCTGCGATTGCAATCTCCCAGAACCCGGTGTTTCATGGCAAGACCAAACATTTCAAGATCAAGTATTATTTCCTGCGAGAAGCTCAGCAAGAAGGAGAAGTTTCTCTGGTTTACTGCAGAACCGAGGAACAAAAGACGGATTTATTCACTAAATCATTTAATGCATGACGTTTCGAGGCGCTAAGAGATATGATAGGGATGTGTGCAAAGTCTTAAGGTCAAGAAGGAGTATGTTAGCGAATTAAGGAAGTGTCCATAAGACTCTGCATCATCAAGAAGGTTTGAAGAATGTAGATAACATTGAAGGAAGTTCAAGAAGAAGTTATCAGTTTGTATTTTTCAGTTTGTAATACAGTTGTAACAACCTCTGTAAAAAGCACCTCTGTAAAAACTCTACATATGTTGTTATGTGTTATGAAATAAAATATGTTTTATAAGGAATTCAGAACCTGTAAAACTCCTCCTGATACTCTCCATCAATATAGAAAACAGAACAAGTCTAAGAAACAGACCGTATCAATGCCAAACTTTCTCACCACCTCCTTATTGTAATCTTTTATCACTTCCGAAGCCAACATGGTGTTTTCAAGCATAAGTCGACCCTTTTAGTTGGGAGAAATGACATACGGTAATACAAGCTTTAATCGGCTGGCAAGGATTTTGGAGATTACCTTGTAGATGATGTTACAACAGTTGATTGGACCAAAGTCGCACAATTTCATCACCTCGGGTTTCTTTGGTATAAGGCTTATATATAGTTGTGGCATTAAATTTCTTCAAGTCTGGGGTGTCGATTTTTCTGAAACATTCGCACTAGTATCTCGCATGGACACTGTCAGGCTCCTGTTGGCTTTGTCTGCACAGAAAGATTGGAAAGTATTTCACATGGATGTGAAATCAACTTTTTTAAATGGAGATTTGAAGGAAGAGACATATGTTGAGCAGCCTGAAGGATATGTTGTGCTAGGGCAGGAGAGTAAGGTATATTTACTTAAGAAAGCATTTTATGGTTTAAAACAAGCTCCTAGAGCTTGGTATGAGAAGACTGATAGATGTCTTCCAGGGCTGAAGTTCAATAGAAGTTTGAGTGAGCATACCTTATATGTGAAAAAGGATCAAGTTGGAATCACAATTGTCTCCCTGTACGTAGATGATCTGCTCGTGACAGGTGATAACAGTGTTGAAATCGAAAATCTGCAGAATTATATGAGTAAGGAGTTCGAGATGACTAATCTCGGACTCATGTCTCAATTTTTGGGACTGGAGATTCAGCAAACTTCGGAGAGTATCTTCATATGTCAACAGAAGTATACAAGGCAAATTCTGAAAAGATTCAAGATGGAAGATTCGAAGACAATGAAGACACCTCTGGACCAGAAAACGAAACTGCATAAATTCAAAGAAGGGGAACCAGTAGATGAAGGAATATACAGAAGTTTGATTGGTTGTTTGATGTATCTAACGGCTTCGAGGCCTGATATTCTCTTTGCCGTTAGTGCATTATCAAGGTACCTGAGTTGTGCTAAGAAGGAGCATCTGATTTCAGCAAAAAGAATATTGAGGTATTTGAAAGGAACTCATACTCTGGGAATCAGATTCTGGAAAAATGCAGAAGTCAAGTTGACAGGATTTGTTGAGAGTGACTGGGGCGGATCAGGTGATGATATGAAGAGTACAACTGGGTATTGTTTCTCGTTAGGAACATCATGTTTCTCATGGAGCTCGAGGAAGCAAGGTATCGTTGCACAATCTACCGTAGAAGCTGAATTTGTTGCAGCTACTGAAGCATCAAAGCAAGCAATTTGGCTCAAGAAAATTCTGAAAGATTTCTCTGTTGATAGCCAAGAACCAACCGAGATTTTTATTGACAATCAAGCTGCGATTGCAATCTCCCAGAACCCGGTGTTTCATGGCAAGACCAAACATTTCAAGATCAAGTATTATTTCCTGCGAGAGGCTCAGCAAGAAGGAGAAGTTTCTCTGGTTTACTGCAGTACCGAGGAACAAAAGGCGGATTTATTCACTAAATCGTTTAATGCATGACGTTTCGAGGCGCTAAGAGATATGATAGGGATGTGTGCAAAGTCTTAAGGTCAAGAAGGAGTATGTTAGCGAATTAAGGAAGTGTCCATAAGACTCTGCATCATCAAGAAGGTTTGAAGAATGTAGATAACGTTGAAGGAAGTTCAAGAAGAAGTTATCAGTTTGTATTTTTTAGTTTGTAATACAGTTGTAACCACCTCTGTAAAAACTCTACATATGTTGTTATGTGTTATGAAATAAAATATGTTTTATAAGGAATTCAGAACCTGTAAAACTCCTCCTGATACTCTCCATCAATATAGAAAACAGAACAAGTCTAAGAAACAGACCGTATCAATGCCAAACTTTCTCACCACCTCCTTATTGTAATCTTTTATCACTTCCGAAGCCAACATGGTGTTTTCAAGCATAAGTCGACCCTTTTAGTTGGGAGAAATGACATACGGTAATACAAGCTTTGATCGGCTGGCAAGGATTTTGGAGATTACCTTGTAGATGATGTTACAACAATTGATTGGATCAAAGTCGCACAATTTCATCACCTCGGGTTTCTTTGGTATAAGGCTTATATATAGTTGTGGCATTAAATTTCTTTAGCAATTTCTCAGATCCAAATATTTCCTGAACTCGATCACTTTCCAAGATGAGTAGAAGAACACTTTGTTGATTCCGTCGGGTCTAGACTTTTATTGTTCGGTATGAAAAACAGTGTTGCCTTGATCTCCTCTGCTGTAACCGCTTGCCTAAGTGCTTTCTTTGTATCCTCACAGCATCTAAAAGAGAGCAAACTTTGCAGCCACTGAACACAAGGTGCGACAATTATCTCATCCTTCGTTTCGAGCGGGTTTCTCAGGTTGCTGAGCATGGGTTTTATGGACAACATTATCCGGTGCATGGGGTTCCGACGAGGTTTCCTTCAAGGGGAGGGATACCACCCGATGTCGAAGCGTCGGATTCCCCCCCCACCTATTCCAAGATGTAAGAATACGGAAGTGTAGTTGCGTACCGATTCTGTCGATCTTTTCCTTGGTTGAAATTACAGTCTTCTAACTCTCTGGACGATGGTCGGAAACCGGCTACTAGAGTCGGAATCGCAGATTCACAACCCAAATGCTACTCACCAAAACTGATAACTCACGTTTTCTTTTCGGGTGTTTTTGCATTTTTATTTGTCATATAGAACCTATAATTTTATAGGATTCAAGTGGTTTATGCAAGAGACACAACCAGTACAATGGTTATATCCTACGGTTATGTCTATTCTCACATACACCCTTTCACTGGGTGTTTCAACCGTCAACTCCCACTCACCCGTGAAAGGTAATGACTTTACCAGTTCTGAGTTCATACTAGCAAATGGGTCGTGTGACCACCGAATACACCTGCATGCGGGAGCTCCAAACTAGAAACCCACACAGGGCCAGAATGGAGACATCAACCTCGGGGAAGAAAAAAAATAAATACACGATGTATTCTATACCCTAGGTTCACTTTGTCACATCGAGTCCAATATTCCTTGATCCCTCAATAAAATAAATAAAGACGATACTTAACCCCCACTACTCCATATGTATTCTCAGTTATGATAAGTACATAACAAATTATAACTGGTCGGCCGGTGAACACATATGAGTGATATGACAATACTTTACCTTCCTTTCGCCCTACTACTAAGTTTCGAGTCGACTGCTTTCCTAAACATGCCCCAGTAGATCGAATCACTCGTGACCATAG